TATCAATACGCAAATGTAGAAGGTGTAAATTAAAACAATAATGTGAAATGATGAATAATAATAATAATCCCAGCAACTCAAGAATGAAAAAAAAAATCTGTTGCAATTAAACATAAATAATTATTTTCTGATGTGGAAGATCAGATTAAACTGCGACCACGGAACATACTAAGAATATCCCAAATAAATAAAATATGCAAGAGAGAAGACACCAAGATTTAACGTAAAAAAACCTCCAATGTAGAGGAAAAAACCACGGGACAACCTCCGAACAATTCCACTATATTTTCAAGATAATTACAATATCTTTTCACACTCCCTACACTAGAAATGTAAAATATAGTGATCCAGTGAAACCCCACTCCTATTAAATATTACAAACAAGGAGTAATAGAAATGATACCCGACCGGGTGTATTTTTCCTATACTCACAGGATTTACTCAAACATTCTATTTTTACAACTCACTGAAAAATCAAACACTCCACGAACTGAATATTTTGTTCCTGCTATTTTTCTCTCTTGTTTGGTATGTCTTTCTTCTCTGTCGAATGCCTCTATTTATAGATAGGTTGAAATTCCACATTCCACCAACCTACACCAATACAACTGCAATGTTGATTATTTTTTTTTTCTTTTTCGGTGATGACCGCACCGCCATTCACTTTCATTTGCTTTTTATTATTATTATTATTTTTTTCTTTTCATTTACTTTTTATTATTATTATTATTATTTTCTTTTCTTTTTCACCGAAAGTGGTTTTGGCTGGATCCCACACTAACGACCGTCGGTTATGCACGATGAATTTGTGCTCGAACATGAGTGGTTTTTGAGATTCCTTATTTCTCAAGTCTTTCAAACAAACAAAACAAAACAAAATATTCAAACTATTCATATATCACAACTAAACTATTAACTAAACAAAATTTTAATTTCTCTCTCAATTTCTTTGTACTCTCTAATTCCCAGTTTCCTCTCTCAACTCACGTGTTCTTCTCCCTCCCCAGATTTCTGCAACTCTCATATTCTTTCCTTCAAACTGAAACCGGAAAAATACCCAAAAAAAAACATAATATTTCAAGAAAATTCAAGTCTATAACAATTGGTATATAGAGCGGTCGATCCTCAAATGATGGATGACGAGTTATTTCTTAGTTATAAGCACCAACAGAAGAAATAAAAAAATAAATAAATAAAAGAAGAAGAAGAAAAAAAAAATGACGTCTAGAGAAAAGGGGAGTTGTGACCAATTTCCAATCTCTGGAGAGGTGGAAAATGGCAGTAACTTCGAGAACGCGAGAATTTGGATGTTTGTTGAGCTATCTTATCTGGATTTGGGTTGTGTTTGTTTTTAAGTGATATTTGAGTTATGCATTTAGGAAGCTTAGAATTGGGCTCAATTATTGTCAAGCTACGTGGATGACCTCTGGGTTGCCGCAAAAAGATTTAGTATTGGGCTTTGATGATTTAGGAAGGGGAGCCCATTGGATGCAATAGTTACATTTTGGACATATGAGTCCCGAGGACGAGACTCGTTCAAGGTGAAGTATTGTCATGTACTCGAGAGAAATAGTTTGAGAGTTAATATTGGGATAGTATATTAGTTAGCTATTTATATTAATTCATAATATATTATTGGATAGGATTGGGCCTTAGTCTTAATATTAGTAGGCTAGTCAATTTAGGCTTTTATAGTAGGAGTGGAATGCCAAAATAATGGAACAAGAAGATTAAAAAAAAAAAAATTTCTAATATCTTTCTCATTTTCTCTTTCCTTTTTCCTTCTCTATTTTCCCTCCCGTGCGTTATTCTCCCTCTTCAGATTTCTGCAACTTTCATCTTCTTCCCTTCAAACTAAATCCAAAAAAATATGAAGAATTATAGAAAATTTCCAGAAAATCCAAGTCCATAACAAACTTCAAAAGTTTTCTCTTCAATAATTAAGTACACATTCTCAAATCTCAAATATTTTCAATGTCATGCTAGCTAGTTATTGTCCATTAGCATTGAGTATATGAATCCTAAAATGGTCCCAATAACTCACTTTCTACAATAGCCATCGAATGAGGAGCAATTCTACACTATTCTTCACTTATAGTGATATCTACACATTTTGGTAGGCAAAATGGATAAACACTACAAATTAATTCTCTTTATTCTACTTTATCTCATGCAACTGTGCAAATGTGACACACTACCATGTGAGGCCACCACCACGCTAGAGTTCCTCTTTATTGTCAATATTTATTCTATAATTTTTAAAATTTGTGTGTTATTTGATATTATTGTGAAATATTTATTTGTACATAAAATTAGAATTAGATGTTTGCATTTTTCGAACCCAACGATTCTGCATATCATTGTCACCAGTACTTTTTTATTGATCACATGCATGAGCAATTCATTACAACACATGTTTATGGTGTTATTCAGTTGTAATAATTAAGTGATTTAATATTAAAATGACAAAGCATCATTTAATAATAAGAATGACAGATAAAAACATACTAGTGGAATAATAGTATTATAACTTCAAAAAATAAAAAATAATGATGACTCTTTAGTTTTCACAAATTCTTAGTGAGACAGTATCGTTAAGTGGATCGGTGCATCATACTTTTATTACAAAAATGTGTACTCAGCATATCGAATGGCATATTTTTGTTTATATTATTTTTTATAATATAACATATTCATTTGAAAGTATGCATATTTGTTTTTTTTTTTCCCGAAACGATAGAAATACTATAAAAGCACAAAAGTGCAACGAGTACAAATTACACGACCCCAAAAGGGTAATATCTATGACCCCAACAGGGTAATGAGACAGGGGCCAACGGCCCAAACCAAAAACACTCCTAGAAAAGAACAGGAATAGCAAACTGAGAGGACACGCACATGGCGGCCTAGAGAACTCAACAACCGAAAATAAAGGAGAATAAATAACAGAGCCACTGCACAATGCCTAGCCTGTATTCATTTCCAAAACAAAGACAACCAAACACACAGAACAAAAAAAACGACAAACAAACCAAAAGTAATACACATGACGAACACACTAAACAAAATAAAATAAAACCGACCCTCTCCCGGAGAGACAACTAAGCCGAAGAAGCAGCTACAACTGACCACAGGAAAGGTCCCTAGCCAAGCCCGAGCCCCCGAAACTGCCGCAGGCCTAACAAGAGGCAGGGCCCCGCCCCCGAACCCAACCAACGGACAGCACCCACAGACCGAGGAGAACAGGCCCAGCCACCCCAACCAGCAACCCGAATAAGGCTAACACCACTAGCCCTGGCCGAGAATACCGGATCCCACACAACCCAAAATGAGCTGCACCAAGATAGCGGCTACCTGCCCGAACTCCAACTCCGGCGACTACCACTTGACACACACAGCAGCCACCAAAGCCCCACCCAACCACCGTCGACCATCATCCACAGCCCCAGCCAAACAAACACCCTCTCGCCACCTCTGCCACTACCCAGCCGGAGCCGAACCCCAGCTAATCGACCCAATCCCACACCAATACTCGGAACCACTAAACCCAAACGGGCCAAATCAAGCCCATTCAGACGACCCCATCGGAGAAGTCTCGGAGCCCCAATTGAACCCTAACCCCCAAACTCTCCAAAAACCAATTCCTCCAGCCTAAACCAGAGCAAGAGAGAGAGAGAGAACTTACCGACACTCCCAATCACAACAAGCAGCAACTCAGACACCGCCGGATGACGATCGGAACCGCTGCTGTTCTCCACCCACCACCAGACGAGAGACGAGAGAGGTTGCTATGGCTACAGATCAAGGAAAATCGTCGGCAAGGGAAGATGGGCGGCCAGCAACGGCCGCAGAGACGGCGTCGCCGTCGCCGGAAGAGATCAAAACGGAGCGATTAGGTTGAAGGCCGAGAGAATTTTCGTCGGAGAGGAGCGGAGAGAATTTTCGTCAGTTAGAAAGAGCTTCTTTATGCATATTTGTTGACAAAGTATGTTTGTATAACCGTAAGACCTGCCTAACTATTTTTTTTTTTTTTTTTGAACTATAGAGAAAAAAGTGAGATCAAACAAATAGAATTTCATGAAAAAAGATTGTTTCATATTTAGTTTCAATACTAATGTACTAGTATTCGACCATGTGCATTTGCACAGATAATGAAGTATTATAAGTTATTTATATGCATATAATATTAAAATTATAAGTTAGATAATGATAATAAATTTTAAACATGGAATATTATAAAGTATATTTATGTATATAATATTAGAATTATAAGTTAGATGATGATATTATGTTTGAACATCTGATCAATATTGGTTAAAATAAATATTATGTAACTGTTTGATGGAGTATGAATCACTATATTGATTGACTAAAGTATAATAAATAATGTATTTGTAAGTTTGAGAGATCATGACTAATTAATTTGCTGAAAAATATTAAATTTATTATAACAATTTCTTATGCAATTTTAAGGGATTTTACTATATATGACATTAAAATAAATTAATTTATTTAAAACATAATTGCTTAATCAAATAAAAAAAATATAATATTGATTTTAGAATAATAACTTTTTAAAGTTAGTACTATTAAAATATAAAATAAATATTACTATGCTATATATGTACTCTCAATAATAAAGAAAAAAAATGAATTAGGTTCTAATTAATTATTTCTTTTTTAAAAAAATCTTAGAACAAATTTTGCATCAACTCGACATGTTATATGAGACAGTTTTGTTTTATTTGATT